ACAGAGAACTTGTTTTGTATAAAAGTAGACGACATTAGTCTCCAAACCTATAGGAATCTGAATAACAAGTCATGCTGGGTTTCTCATTCAGTCTATCCAAGCAGTTTGGCAATAAAGCACTGAAATGTGTTTATGTTCATGAGCACTCAGACAGCTTAAAAATTTGCTTAACAAGCACAAAACTCGTTGACTTCTAGAAGGAAAAGTTTAGCTGCATTCTGAGCTTGTGCATTTCTGTGTTCAATATCATAGTACAAGTAAATAAAAGTTATTCTTTCTGTTAAGTAAATGACAAATAAATATATATTATTGAACAAACTGTTGGTTATATGCTCACATCACTCAAATTGTAGGCATTGACCCTGGCTTGAATAAACTGAGGAACATCAGGATCCAGAGTGTATTTGTGTTTTACTTTTTCACCTTCTTGCTTATATTTTACCTGCAAGGAAAAATAAAGACTTGTTGACAAGTGCAAGGTAGGTAATATTAGAGTTAACAAATATAGACAATGCAACAATGCTTAATTCTTACCAACAAATTGCAATTTTACTATTTTTACAGTTTTTGAAATGCAAAGGGTTTTTTAGATGGAACATCAGACAGTAATATCAGACAGAAATCATAAATATGGTAAAAAATAAAGTCACTATATTGCATTAATAATGAAAGATTTCTTACATCACTCAGTTGCTTGGTGTTGTGCTGAGCTAAAACCATTGGTATTGAATCTGGAATACTTGTAAATTTGATGGTGTCTGGGTGCTGACGGTATTTCTTTTCATTTAGTGCATGTCCAGCCTTTTTAGCTTTTTCAACATCCAGAGAACCGAGAGGACTCCATCCAATCCCCTTGAACCAGCTGTTATACTCTTGTTTGTATGCATTCTGGAGGAGAGAAAGTCAACAGGGACCAAGATTTTCCCACTGCACTGTAATAATTCTGTTCAAGACAATAATCACACACTCTAGCTAGTGTGTTCCACATTTGCAGGAAATGTGTATAAACTCGTGAAGGGAACGATAGATATTTTTTATGCTTCTCTGTGATTCAAGGAAGAAAACAAGTTATTGTATTTTTTATTTATTATTCATTTTTTATAACCTGTAACAACCCTCCAGTACTCACTGACCTTCCTTTTCTTTTACCCATGTGAAAAATTTCACCAACCTTCAATTCTTAATAACTTCTACACTACCATACAGTGACCATTTAACATTGTTTAATTTGTTCCATGTTTCAGCAGACTCTGTGAGACTTGGTCTTATGCAAAGGCCCACAGAGCAGAGGCTCGGTTCTGGTTTTCTTCCTGTAGTTCCTCCTACCATACAATAAGCAGAATTCACAGACTCCAAGTGAAAAATTTATCCTGGCTACAAAATATGCAGAAGGTTACCCCATATAAACATTCAGAGAGGGTTAATGCACAGTCTGAATGCAAGGATATCGTGGACACTGTTTTTTAAGACCCTTCCATGTTCTAATTCTAAAATGAGTGGTCCTCCCTAGGGATCCATACAGAGTCAAACTCCACAGGATACAGCAGTGCAGAGTGTAACCATGTATGTCTGGTCAACCATTTGAAACTCTACCTGCAAGAAGGACTAAAAAGGTCCCAGGAGAGGTCTCCTATGCTAGAGATCTCCAGAACTATTATTTCTAGTAATAGTTACATTTTGTCCACTCCTTCATCCTAAGTAGCTAATAATAGTCCAACTACACTACCATATCTATCTCATGTGAAGTCAAAGCAAGACAACTTAAAAGAAGCCTTAAAGAATAAAACAAAATTGTGTTAGTTGAAAAATAAAGTTTTCTGAGGAATTGTGAATAAAAGTTCATTTGAATTCAATATTCCAGAAGTCTGCTCTCCATTGATACATCAACATCAAAATCCTGTTGAGTAGAAGTCACCTGGAATCTGGTATTTCTAAATGCCACCACCAGCTGGTAAAACTTCTAATGATCTTCCCCAAGATGTAAGAAAAACAGACCGTTCTCATACAGTAATGGCAATTTTCATTGAATATAAACTCATCTTTTATTTTTCACAGTGCACAGGAAAAAGTCCATGAAATTGCCATCATTAAAATACTCACATCACTCTGAATTTGCATCATGTTCTTTGCAAGCTCAACATCCATGGCATCTGGCAGGTAAGTGTAGTGATGGATCAGGTTTTTGTAGTGGGCATTAGAAGCTACATCCTGAGCCTGTTTAGCAGCCTGGATACTGAACATGTCAGGAGTTGCATGATAGACAGTCTTGGACTTCTCGTAGTCTTTCTTGTACTCACGCTCAGACTGAATCTTTGCTACGTTCATGTAGTGGACAAGCTTAGGGTCATCTTGCAGGCTTCTGAAACCAACCTGCTTTCCTTTAGCCTTTTCATATGCTTCTTTGTATTTATACTAGAAATAGAGGAAAGAGATCAAATGTACTGCAGCACAGCTACAGATGTCCATACTCATGCAAAAGAAAAGCAAAGCTCTCACGACTTGCATTGGAAAAACAAGCTGCAAGTAGTTCAGGAAGATAAACTCTCCTAAATGGCACACCGGCAACTGTACCTACGTTAGCTTTTCTTGCTCCACCATCTAAGCCTGTACACAACAGGTTACACACACCACAACATGATTTATCAACATTAGCTTTTCTCGTAAGGCAGAATGTTTCCTAAGCATTCCTGTGTGGAAAGGTGTATGAAAAATATCAGGATAATTGAGATAATCCTTCATGGTAATTTGAAAGTAATAGCAAACAAGTGGAATAGGACTGGACAGCTTCCTCTAGTTATATGAAGCAACTGAAACAACTCACACTGTATGCACTTTGCACTATAATGCCTTCTGATTTGCATATAAGCCATACTCCACTGTATAACCAAAAGCACCCTTAGCACATATTGTCTTGTGGTCTGTAAAAAGGTGCTGATGTAGTGTATTTTCTGGAAATTTGTCACAGAATGATTGCAAGAACCACTGATTTCATTTCTCCTGTGAAAGGTGGGTTAAGAACCACAGTGCAATAGCATTTCACAGAATCACAGAATGTTGGGGATTGGAAGGGACCTCAAAAAATCATCTAGTCCAATCCCCCTGCCAGAGCAGGAACCTAAATGAGATCACACAGGAAGGTGTCCAGGTGGGTCTTGAATGTCTCCAGAGAAGGAGACTCCACACCCTCCCTGGGCAGCCTGTCCCAGGGCTCTGGCACCCTCACTGGAAAGAAGTTTCTTCTCAAGTTGAAGCAGAACCTCCTGTGTTCCAGCTCACACCCACTGCCCCTTGTCCTAAAGCAGATTTGCCTATCTAAAGCAAGCAAGGTGGGCATAAAATAAGTTCTAGGCAAACTAAGCCTTTGGGAAAGAGTAAGAATCTCTTTCTTACAATACCAGCTCTGGTGAGACCTGTGCAACATATGAGGTCTACCATATGGCCTGTAATGGACAAGTTTTTTACTAAATGTCTAGAAAATTATACCTGGAATAGATACTTACATCGCTAGCAATGTTCCTTGAAGCCTTGGCTAGAGTAATTGGAATAGCATCAAGTGACACATTGTTCCCTTTAGCTATTAGATCATGGTAGTCTTGTTTATAATATGCCTAAAAAAGAAAATACATATTATTCTAGAGAATCTAATAATCACATGAACTATGTGTGAGTCAAAGCTACTCCTAAGCTACTCCATGAAATTCTTTAGAAGCAGATGCAGTGGGGATCATATGCAACTATCAGTCTTCATTTATGAAAGTGCATTTATCTATGAATTAAATTAATTGAATGATTACATGATTAAATGTTGTCTGGTTAGAAATTCAAATGACATCAAGAATGAAAAATTACAGTGATACAAGCTGATTATAAAGAACTGACTAACAGTGAAAGGAATCTGCAATAGGTGTGTATCTGTAACATATTACTTTAAAAAAACATCATTAACAATGTGTAAAATATGTTGTAAAGAAGTCACTTACATCACTGATGTTAGCTGCATTGTATCTAGCCTGGATAAACTGTGGGACATCAGGGGTGAGAGTATATTTATGTTTAACTTCCTCTCCAGAAGATCTGTATAGTTTCTGTAAAATATATGGTACAGAAATAAATCCTTTTCTCCTCGCATAGCTAGCCCCAGCTCACTGTAATTTAACTGAAGGTTTATGTTTGATTTAGCAAATAAATCTACATTGCCACCTATCTCATACAGATTGAGGCTGCACTTTTCACACAGAATGGGTGATCTTGTTGATAAAAGGAAGGCACCCTAACAGCTCGATGCAGCCTTTACTCAGGAAAATTAAGCCTTTTAATGGACATAAAAAACCATCTCTGAAACGGTGGGATAATAGGGGATGGTAGGAGAGTGTAACTTAACATAAAGCTTGCTGGTTTATAATGATGGACACATTGTAATTCAGCAAACATTCTGTAATTCATTCATTATTGTAGGTGATAAAACATCGATAAACAACTTGAAAACATCACATTTCCTAAATCCAATGTATTTCAAATATACTAAAATATAAAATATTTTAATAAAATCTTAATATATAATATAAATTTTACCAGGAAATTACTCAGGCACAAAACAATGACAACACAGAGAAACACTTTTAGACTAATAGAACTTTTAAAAATATTTAAAGACAATGCTCAACACTTCAACAGATACATCTCTACTTTACTATAACACCCATTTCTTTCTCTACTTACATCACTGACTTGAACTGAATTCTGTTTGGCTTGGACCATTACTGGAGAGTCCACCACACTTGTAAATTTAATGGTGTCTGGATGCTGACGATATTTCTTTTCATTCAAGGCTTCTCCAGCTTTTTTTGCTTTTTCTACTTCTACTGAGCCAATGGGGATCCATCCAATGCCTTTCATCCAGTTATTATAATCTGCTTTGTATGCATTCTGATAAAGGAGTGAAAACAATGTTTTAGAAGTTAGGAATTAGAAAAAACAGTTCAGGGACCTCTCCTGAGTCTTCACATTTTTTGCTCAAGGCACCTCAAAAAAATTCCATTCACATGAAGTTTTAGGTTTGACTTACATCACTCTGAATCTCCATCATGTTTTTGGTCAGCTCCACATTCATTGCATCTGGTAAGTAAGTATAGTGGTGCACGAGGTTCTTGTAATTAACATTGCTGGCAATCTCTTGAGCCTTCTTGGCACCGACAACATTGACCATATCCAGCGGAATGTTGTACTTAGTTTTTGTTTTCTCATAATCTTTCTTGTACTCTCGCTCAGACTGCAGCTTGGCTACCTTCATATGATGAACGAGTTTGGGATCATCCTGGAGGCTCTGGAAGCCAACGAGTTTACCCTTGTTGGCTTCATAGGCTTTTTTATAGTTAACCTGTTAGAATATAATAGAACACAGAGAATATCATCTTAAGTGTAGTAACTTAGCAATAAATAAATTAAAATCAAGGGTTACCCTTTGTTTCCTACAAAGAATATCCCTCATTTAAACCAGTGACCATACATCTTAATAAAACCAGACATACATCTCTTTACAAGTCACTGCTCCACAAATCATTTAGTTAGCTAACAAAGTAGTATTATCTCACTTGTACTGATCATAAGAAGGAGAGGAGTCTTAAAATACTAAGGGACTTCTGTAAGGCCATCCCCAAGAATCTACCCTAAAACTCAGTAATGTCCTAGAGTCTTTCATCTCATTTATGATCAGGCCTATAATTAAGGACAGAGAGAATTCAGAGGTCCATTGCTCATGGAGCTGTCACTACTGACCTACTTCTCATGATTTTCCTTAACCATACTAGAGTGCAAGATAACCTATTTATTCACAGAGAATTTCATAATGAAACAGTCTTTTCTACATGCAATTACATAAATACATTAGTGAAGCAATGAAACACCAGTAAAAATATAAATGTGTTAAATCCATTCGATTACACCCTCAAAAAAGGCCATAAAGAAGTTATCCTTCAGATATCCTTAATAAAGATAACTGCAAACATTGTTTAAGTAACCTCTTTTGAATTAAACAGTTCCTTTCTGAAGGATGTACTTACATCACTGGCAGCCTGCCTAGCAGCCTTGGCAGCTCGGATAGGAATAGCATCACTTTTTAGATCATATCCCCTTGATTTTAATTCTTCCAATCCCGTCTTGTAATAGTTCTAGAAGAAAAGGTGAACTTTGAATGAACAGTTTCTAGCTCACAGAAACTTCATATTTTAAGTTGAATGAAGAGCTCTGGATTCAAAATACACTTACATCACTAATATTGTAGGCATTAACTTTAGCCTGTATAAACTGGGGCACATCTGGAGGGAGGTGGTACTTGTGAATAATTTCTTCACCTTTGGATTTATAATTTATCTGAAAAAAAAAAAAAGGGCAATTTAACAGCCAGTGTTTATAGATTGTAAATGCTTAATAATGCTGAGTGACACAACTTAAAGATCTCATGTTACCTCACTCACAAAGACAGAGGTGAAATTCTAGTCTTTGCCAAGTTAATGGTATAAACAACATTGACTTAAGTGGTGCGAAGAATATGTTAAGAACAATGGAAATAACCAAAATTACAAACATATACACTAAAATTTGACAGGAACAGCCACTTGAAAAAATAATAATAATAAAATTTGATTTCCAGGTCATCTTCCACTGGAACAGAACTGTGAACACACACAAATGATTTTGTGCTTGTGTGCACATATATGCACACACATTCACCTACACATTCATTTTAGCAGTTCTCCTAAAACCGGATGATAAAGTGAATGTGGACGCAGTGCAGAAATTGATAATGTCAGAGTGTAGCCACATGTCTTCAGAGTTTACTTACATCACTCAGCTGTTTGCTGTTGATCTCTGCTTGCTTCTGTACTGGGGAGTCAGCCACTTGAGTAAATTTGGTTTGATCAGGATGCTTTTTGTAGGTGTGCTGAAGGAAAACAATATTTGCAGAAAATGCATATAAGCAGAATTATTTTATAAGACATAGCAATGTAGCGTTACTTGGGATAGTTTGCAGTCACAGCATGTGTGCAGATTAGCACTGTCATGCACAATGGTTCTCATGTTACTTTTTAACATAATCAGATAGCAAGTAAATTTCTTTAAGTATTTAAAAGTATTGATGTAAATATTTTTAATAGGTGTATAAATATTATAATGTATAGTATTCATTATAATATATATATTATAGTCTTATTATATGCAAAGTGTTTTCCAAGTATAAAGTAAATAAAATTAGTACTAATAAAGTAACTAAATTGCTTTTAAAGTATTAATGTAAAAATATGTTGACTTAAGTAATGCATGCTTGAGGTTCACTCTTCATTTTGCTGATATTCCCCTAATTCTATGGTTTTACTTTTTAAAAAAAAAAAAAAAAGATAGTGCCATATCTGTCTTGATCACTAGGTGTCACAAAAGGCTCTAAAATACAGCTGAATATGGTTTTTAAAAGTCACATATGCTAATACGGCCAAATTAAAAATCATCAGTTAGCAGGATTCACTCTGTAAATGTCTACCTGCCTCAGAAGCAGATACTCTGCATGTAGTTGGTACTTAATAACCACCCTTGTCCTGTACTTACATCTTTACACTGCTCCAGCTTCTTAATAGCTTCGTACTCTTGAGTTATGGTCTGAGGGAAGTAGCATTTTGTCTTTTCCTCCTCGTAATCTGCTTTGTAATTTTTCTAGGAATAAAATCAACGTTCAGTAAGAAACTATAATTGAGCTTTCTCTGAAATTAAAGTATGACAGTGAAATGAGAGTGATTGCCACACTTACATCACTCTTCATAGCTTCAACTTTCATGCAGTGTGTATGATGTGGGTCCTCAAAGCTTCCCAAATAATGTCCTAAAATATTCTTTTGATAGGCATCTTTATATTTTACCTGGAAAAATAATCACAAGTTGAGAAATAAAGGTAATCAAGAGTGTCAGTACTGAATGGCATAGCGTAAATCAAGTACATACATCACTAAAATTCTTCAGAACAGTATCAATCTGGAACTTTGGTGTGTCACAGTAATTCATGCTGGTTCCTTTTGACTGTTCGTAGGCTTCTTTGTATAATTTCTGCAAAAGAAAATAATGTCAGATCATGCAGTAGATTTCACTGCAACTCACTCACAACACAATAAAAAATATCACGAGTAAAACTGAAATGATTGCAAAGAAAAGATTTCCCAGAAGACTGAAAAACAGATTACTTTTTTTCCTTAATTTTTTTTTAAAAAAACCTTTTTTTAGTGACTATTACACTTGTAAGGGAAGTGTAGAAGTAATAGAAAGGTCTGACTAAAGGTTTTTGAACTTCTGACACTGGGAAATACACAATCCCTTTCCATATAGGGGAAAAAGACAAGAAGAGAGAAATTAAGAAAGCCATAACAGTGAATAACCAGAATACAATATATATGAATACGTAAAAGTACCACATATTGTATCATAATTGGCATCAGCTGAAGTCCCTGAAAACAGTAAGGGAAGTACTGTCATCTTGTGATCCATTTTCCACAGGGATCTGCATGAACTATACAATAATTATCTACCCCCAGAACATGCCACAGCTACTGTTACACCCTGCTGTGGAGAAATGACTCCATATCTATACTCTTCTGGTTGGTGGCATTTCACGACAAATACTGGTCTATAAAACTAAAAATACTAACAGATCCAAAGGAGAAGCCTTGTAAAGAAATTATGGGTTTGGTTTATTGTAAATGACTGAAAATCATTCAGCTCAGCTGTACTTTGATAATACTTACATCACTCAGTGCATTTCCTGCAGCTTTTAATTGCCTCAGCAATGGGTTCTCTGTAGCAGGAAGCACGTTATAATCTGCAATAGCTTTGCTCTTTTCATAGTCTGCTCTGTATTTTATCTTTAAAAAAAATACAAATAAAAAGGGTGAAGTTTTAAAAATCAGTATTAAAATTAGTATTAAAGCCAAGTGCTCACTAACCTGTATCATACTGAACTTTTCAGGAAAATTTCTCCTGTTTTTTTCTTATGACTCAATGGTGGCAAAAGACCATGAAAGGCACTCGGACCACAGGAGTGCATGGATGACAAGATGGGAGGCAGGGTCAGAAGATAAGTGAGAGCTATTTAGTACATGTCCCCACCTCTAAGTCCCTCTCCAAACATTGTAATTTTTCATATATCAGTTGACATCTCAGAATAGTCACGTTCTTACAATTAATGACATAAGATTGTCTTTGCTGATGTATTTACTGTTGCAGAAAATGCAAAAACCAAACAAATTCTGTGTTTTGAGCAAAAGATGGGCCAGCAAAACATCACTGAGATACACTGAACAAGGATGAATAAATCTGAAAATACTGAGCCAAATTCAGCCAGCTTAAGTTGGTCTAGGCTACGAGTATTGATTTGTTCCAACTGAAAATCAGGCACATAACATAATTAGAACAAACAGTGAAGCAAATCACTTCACTGAAAGAAAATTCGACTTCTCGGATACAATTGTGGAAGATCATAAGCCTGGCTAGTTGTTATAAGCTTCCTAGTGGAATGTACACAAGAATACATCTTTTGCACCTAAGAAAATATTTTTGACACTTGACAAAAGGGTTTCAGCATGAACTGACCTGACTTCAGAACTATACTCAAGCTGAACAAATGGGAGCGCACATAACCTACCTTACTGACATTATCTGAGACTCGCTTATTAGCTTCATACTCCGGAGTTTCAGTCTGCATAAAGTAGATTTGGTCTTTCACGTTTTCAAAGTCTTCCTGATATTTTCTCTGTTAGGAACAGAGACAAACAGATTACAGCATATCAAATGCACTTACACTATAACTCAGCCATTCACAAAGTAGCTTATTTAGGAAAAGAGAAATACCACAAATGGAGCAGGCAAAACTAATCAGTATTTTCCATGTTAACATAAACAGAGGATAAAGCTGTTCATTTCAAGATTTTCTGAAGAATTCACTTACCATACTTATATTTTCTGCATTCATTTTTGCAATTGCAACATCATAGCAGGGAGTTTGAGTCCACTTGCCTTTGATCTTGTTTTTATAGTCCTCATGGTAAATAATCTATAACAAAATCAAAAGGTAAAATTTAATCCTCAAGATACAGCTCAATTTTCAATGGACAGATTTGGTTTTAAAAGCCTTCTTTTTAAAGTTACTTCACATTTTACATCTGCCTTATAACCATATTATCAGTTATTGTCAAAAACACACTTAAACCTAAGAGCTTCAGTATCCAGTTATTCCTCTTAGTACCTTGCCTGGTCAAAAAAAAAAGAATAAACAGGTGAAATAAGTAATCTCTTGTAGAAGATAGTTGTTTTTACCTTCTTTCATCTTCCAAATGGGTTCACTACAATTTTTTCTCAATAGATTTGCAATTGTAAGTTAATACTGTAACTCTCTAATCTTAAACAGCAGATAATGTTCAATACACAGCAATAAAATCATGCATGTCCTCTTCATCATATCTAAATTCTGAACCAAGCTGAAATCCTACTTCTGTTTTACAAGATTATGCGACTTAGTTCCACTTTCTTCAGCAAAAAATTGGTCTTCCTGTATTATACTTCACCTCCTGCATTCCTCAACTGTTTTTTATTTTAAGAATATCTAAAATTCATTGACAGGGACTGGTGTCAGAGCCTTTGTTAGTCATGCCACACAGTTATGGAATTTAATGTTGAATGCTGCTTGTTAATTCGGTGTGCAAATCAGGAAACAGTTATTCAAGTTGACACTGACTGGTACCCATGAACCTAAAAAGTACAATGGTTTGACACCGAAATGAACATTTAGAACATACTCTGCACAGTTGACCTAGACAACTTTTCAGCAAAATGAGGTTATTCCTTGTAACAAGTAACTCACTCCAAAACCAGATATATATTTACGTGGCATTGTTCACCTTTAAGAGGACAGCAAAAGGCATGTTGTTTATTATTTTCTCCTGTAAACACAGAAAGTGTCAAGCAGGAGACCAAATAAAAGGAGAAGAGGAAGTAATGTGTGTATGGTAAAAGCAGAAATGTTTTGTGAAAACTAAACTCACCAACAAGAATAAAGTTTAGCCTTTCATCTGAGACTGGCTAGGATTTTCTCTGAGACATTTGATGAAGAAAGGAACTGACTTCTGCCACTGAAAATCAAAGGAGTCTTCATACGAGCTCTGGTCTTTTCTTTTGCTTTCCCTTTCTTTAGTTACCTTTCTGCCTCGCTAGCTCCAGAAGTGAGGTTTCTACAGAAAGAGCAGCATTGCATTCTACTCACATCACTCAGCTGCCTCGTCACTTTCTTGGCTTGTTCCACATCAGGTGGATCTGGCAGACAAGTATATTTAGATTTTTGTTCATCATGCCCTTTTTTGTAGACAATCTGAAAATATGAAAGAAGTAAACATTTACAGTAACTACCAACTTAGGCATCAGAACATTTGCTCTTAACTCTGCTAACACCACCATTAATGGCAGTAGTTCTGTCCACAGCTACTCCAGCGTAAACTCTTTCAATCAGTGTATTCTGGAGGAGTACTGAGAAGTCTCTTGATAAGAGACAGTGAAAAAGAATCAGTTCCCTGGGCAAGTTTTCAGGTATATCATTCTGTTGATCCTGATAAACACGGACTAGTGAACTTCTGGAGATCTGCAAAACTCATTGAAATCTTTAAGCGAGACCTGAAATCCTCGGTTGAAGAGTTCTGTGTATCTAAGTATCAGCAAATCACACAGCCTCACAAATCCCTGACTTTTCTTATCACTTTTAGAGAGACAGATTTGTAGAACCACAACAGTGAACTGGGCTTACAGCCAAACCTGAGAGTTTCTCCGCAAATTCTGAGAGATGCTTGAGGCCTTCTTATAGATTACTTCAGAAGATCTTTAATAAATTAATTATTTCATTCATTCATAACATACATATTTTTCTATTGAAACAGAACTACTGTCAGAGCTAACTATCAGCACACACCTATGCATTTTTATTTTCTGTTTCACTGTGAAGTTTTTACTTGTAGTCAAAGTCCACCAGAAAGTCTACCAAGTTACACCCTAACAGTGACCCAGCTGTCAGTCAGACTTTCATACTTACATCACTCAGAGCCTTTTGAGCCTGTGCCACTCTTCTGAGCTCTGGACTGTCATTGTAGGGATAGAATAATGATTTGTCTCCTTCCCATTCTTCAGTATAGAGTTTCTGAAAAATAGAAAAATGACAGAATACTCATTATGAATTAACCTCTGACTTTGAATGCTTCTTGCACTCCAGCTGCCTAGATCTGTGATGTTTTTTTTATTACCTTACTGAACATTGCTGTGTTTTTTATTGCATTCACAAGCTCGGGAGCATCAGGGGGAAGCAGGTACTTGTCCTTATTCTCCTCCCAGTTCTGTTTATATAACACCTGGAAAGAAAGATCAGCACTTTGGTTACTCTATCATTAGAAAACATATTTACTTTTGTGAATAAACTACCTGTTTTAAAGATTTTTCAAAGTGAAAATCTCAGTGCCATTTGAATACATCAGTTGGAAACATTCACCATGATATCCGAGCTTGCTTTATCAACTGCTCTATTATCAACACTCTCCCTGTGCTTCTAAACTAACTGTTGTTAACTGTTAAGGGCAGTTAATGACAAAACAAGGGGAAATGGGTTTAAGCTGAAAGAGGGGAGGTTTAGATGAGATATTAGGAAGAAGTTCTTCACTGTGAGGGTGGTCAGTGTAAGTTGTTGCCCAAGGAAGTTGTGGCTGCTCCTCCCTGGAAGTGTTGAAGGCCAGGCTGGATGAGGCTTTGAGCAACCTGGTCTAGTGGAAGGTGTCCCTGCTGCTGGCAGGGGGGTTGGGACTGGGTGAGCTTTAAGGTCCCTTCCAACCCAAACCATTCTATGATTCTATGATTCTATGAAACTGTTCTATGAACATTGTTTTACTGCCCTGAGCTCAAAACTTTATCCATGTCAATAACCTCATGATCCACTAATGTTCACAACCCTTCCAGAAGGTCAGAACTCACTCACCTTGCTCACTTGCTGCGACACCTTCTTTGCATGTTCTATATCCTTGGCCTTTTCATCAACGTGGCAAATAGTTCTAGCAACTGTACCAGCCATGCGGTATTTCACCTGGATCAATGCACAACAAAACACATTTATTCTTACAATAGAAACTGATAGGTTTTGGGTTTTTTTTAAAAAGCATAATATTGACATTTTGACACCCAGTACTGTAAACACTCAAAACCTGAACTCAATAAAGCATTTAGGACTAGCTGTTTCTTAGAGATTAAGCCTATAGAAACAATAATATAGTTTATATGGTTATAAACTGAAAGAGGGGAGATTGAGATGAAATGTGAGGAAGAAATGCTTGGCTGTGAGTGTAGAGAGACACTGGCCCAGGTTGGCCAGAGAAGTTGTGGCTGCTCCTCCCTGGAAGTGTTGAAGGCCAGGCTGGATGAGGCTTTGAGCAACCTGGTCTAGTGGAAGGTGTCCCTGCTGCTGGCAGGGGGGTTGGCACTGGATGAGCTTTAAGGTCCTTTCCAACCCAAATCAGTCTGGGACTCTGTGATTCCATTAAACACTAAGTGTAGTGCTAAAATCAGTACAGCCACATGACCACAGCAAACCAGCAGCTTGGACACAAAATCTTCCTAATGTGGTTCTATCAGTCCCAGCTTGAGAGCAGGCTCAGGCAGCATTAGCACACAGATTGCTGCATCACATTCCTCAATACATCCAAAGTCAGGAGTGGAGGAGAATTTAACGCACACCAGTTCGGTCACTACCCTCTCAGACTTGAGAGCAGGCTCAGGCAGCATTAGCACACGGATTGCTTCATCACGTTCCTCAATACATCCAAGTCAGGAGTGGAGGAGAATTTAATGCACACCAGTTCAGTCACTACCCTCTCAGCTTTAGGAGATCCCATTCCTAGGGACTCAACTCTCCCTATTTACAGTACAGAGAATTAAGAAGCCTTTGTAGGTGGATTTTGGTTTCCCAAACTGTGGTGTATAGTTGAAAGGCAGACTAGAGCTGCTTAAAAGAAAGAGGGGAAGATGAGCTAGCTGCTAGAAGCAGAGGCTCTGCATCAGTGAGGCAATTGCATTTGGGCCAGCTTTCCAAGGCAGATCACTAAGAGTGGGATTCACACACCACACACCTTGGAAAAATCCCATAGTAAATGACAAGATATACAGAAGTTCATTTTTGCAACACCTGGAAAAACTAAGCATCATTTTTCCAATATCTGGTTAGAAACTTGACTCTCAGGTGCTTTATGAAAACAAAAATATTTAAACACATTTTAAAAACAAAACTCTAGGTTTATTTACCCAGTGCACAACTTAACTACAACAGAAATTCATGAGACACATCATTCATGATGACTGCAGGATATAGTGTGTGGAATCTTCAAATGCAATGATAGGGGCATCTCCACCACCCCCCATGCCCGTAACTTCTGATCAGAAGTTTTCAAACCTCTTCAGACACAATTAAACAGGGCTATTTTTCAGCTAGAAAGAAACCATCACACCTCCCTTCCTCAAAGGCCTAAATTCCAAATGACATCATAGAACTCAAATTTGACATATATTCTGTATTCCTCACTTGAATCTGATAACATTTCTGCTAAAAGTTCAGATTGTCTTATCACAACAGCATCAAAAAACTCTCACTTATTATCTGACATTTAAAACTGTGATTTAATTTTCTTCTTTACCACTCATTAAATATTTTCTCTTATGATGATTGATACCCACCTCACTGAGCTGGTCTTGCACTTTCTTGATTCTCCGAATCTCTGGGGTATCAATTGTGGAAGCATATGGCTTCCCTTTTTCTTTTCTAAATTTTTCTTTGTACTTGTTCTGAAAGAAAATAATCACAAATAAAATGAAGACATATTCTAGAGCTCTGGCAGAAATGTGTATAGCAATTACTGATTTATATTTATGGTTGGTATAGGAATTTGGGGCAGATGATTGAATAATACAAACTGGTGTTACTCAATTACATTTGCAGAGTTGTGCTTATTTTAGCCAACTTTCTTCCACCTGAACCAACAGAAAAAAAAATAACTTCTAAATTTAGCCTGGTTTAGATCACCTCTAATTGATTATATTCTGCTTAGGAACTTGGTATTGATAAATTTAGTGTTATTTGTTTCAGTGACCAAAGATAAGGAAAATATATGGGTGAGGGTAGCAGTGCTAGACCTCTGATCTCACATAATCCTGTAACAGAGAATGCTGGTGGGTAATATACAGTAAAATTTAGGAGAAGGGATTTGATACCATCTACATCTGTGCAGAGAAGTCATTTTCCAAATAACAACACTAATACACATCATGAAGTGCAGAAGACAAAATAGCAGTGTGAAAGTTTGCCATAATACCTATTAAATATTCTTAAAGTTGGTTTTCCTCAAGAAATAAAAGACATGGGACAGTTTACCTCACTGAATAGGTCCTTCATTTTATTACTGTGTTGCAGATAAGGCGTCAAAAACTTAGATGAATCCACTTTTGTCCGCACTGTCCTCTTCCTGACTGGAGCTGCTGCATTCTCAGCAGCTGGTGGTTTTTCACGCTCAACAGTATGGGTGGTAGTTTTAGGACCTGTGAAGTCTGTGCTGATGGTCTCAGTGATCTCATGACCACCTGGGAATAATGAAAAAAAAAAAATAATTACTTGTTTTATAACTATAAATCATCATTTTATGATATGCATTTTTCACCTTCCCTATCTAGTAAAAGGATGCTCAATTCTTACCCACCTTTCCTACTAAACTACACTTGCTCCTAGCTAGATCACAACCACGGCAGAGACATAGCTGGGATACTTACATAACCAATTAACCAAGCAACCATTGGAAATAAGCCTTTAATTAATTGAAATGGGCTATATACTTGTTTATCAACATATACATGCTATAAGCAATAATTTTAATACTAAGATTCTAAATAAAAGCATTTAAAAATAATTATTGTAACTTTAAAAGTGCTCCAAAATCACCTGAAGAACCTAGATTTTTTATTTCATATCAATTAGCTTTAAAAAAAAGCACAAAAAGCGAATGCATGAAGCTCAGGTTTCTGATAGCTATTTGCATTAGTATGAGCCAGACCAGAAAATACAGCATTAAATATTAAATTGAGAAGTATACAAAACCTACATTGCAGAATGTTTGTTTACTATGTGAACATTAATTGCATTTCATTAATGCTGTCCCAAGATATTATTAGTTACTTCAACACCTCCACAAGTTTCTGTCTTACAACAATTTGTCTGGTTAGAATTTCAGAACACCTGATGAATGCAGTGGATTAATTAATCTTAAAAATAATAAAATGGGAGTCTTCCTTCAAAAATATAGACCTAGATCACTTGCTCAAACAGTATTAATTGAGTCTTGTTTTATTAAATGAAAAATATAATATTTTGGGAGCAGAACCTTTGTTTGGAAGGAAACACGCTCACAAAGTGACACATGAAGCTTTTGCTTACACATAAGTCTATGCTATAAATAATATTTCAGGGTAACACAGCAGAGAGTTGGATTATATCTGTACTACAAGTAGAATTCCAAATGATGGTAATAATTCCTTGGTGACTCAAATATTTGTTACCAGGGGCATGAAAAAAAATATGCAAACTGCCAATTTTGGGGTGAAATTCCACAAGGTGAAGGGAACAGAATTGAGATATGTAAACTGGTTTCGGGCAGAATCTTTGTTTCTCATGTGTACATATCTAGTCACACTCACAGTCCATAATTCTGTCCATCTTTAACCCTGATGACTGGATTTGGTCAACATGTTACCCAAGTAATCTTCCTGCTTACGTTTCTTATTAACATAACCTGCTGCTTCATTGTGTCAGCTCCTGTGGAAGCAGCTGCCGGGCAGGAGCAAAGGGAAGAGTATCAGTGAGACGCAGGGCAGGACAGAGATCAGCACAGTCCTTTTCTGATGGACACATCCACAACTCATTCCAATGGAAACCAAAGAGTGGCGGAGAGGATACTCAGAAAAAGCTAGGAGTCCTCTAGATCATCCCACAACAGGGTCTTGCAGAGGAAATAAAGTATTAAGAAGCAACTGTTCACTGATATTTGTGTATTTAATATGAAAAAATTAGTCCTCAGAATACAAAAAGGCACTAATTTAGCACTATGCATTAATTACTTGGATATATACAGCACATGCAACATCACAGGGACCTTTACCTCATGTGGTTCACCCTCCTCAATAATTGTCTCTTCAATGTAGTACTATAATAAAAAAATAAATAAATAAAGAGGGGGGAAAAAGTCATTCTTAGGCCAGATCATACAGAATAGCAAATTGTAGCTTCTCTGAAGCTGTTTTTAAAACACACTTCTGGAGAAATAGGACTGTATTTCATAGGTACATACATAGTCACATTTGCATCCTTGGTAATTCTGAACATCTGTTCATATTTTTGATTAATGATTGGGTTTTTTTTCTATATGTTCCTCAATAAACCTTCCTCCCAGGTAATTAATGAAGGATCAGTATCTAATTTTATCCACAAGAGCAAAGATAATAATGACCACACTAAAAGCAAGAATCAGCATTCAATATACTTTGATTTTCCAAGTGTGTGGTAATACACCGAGAGGACTGTAGGAGGTTTCTCTCTCTAAGGCTGCCCTCAGAATTGTTCCTACCTACAGATCCTTGAAGAACCCCAATAATTACTGGCTGCCAGGTAGACTTGTACTACTGATCACAGTTCTGAGCTCAGCAGCCCAGTTAATTTTCCACCCACTTTATTGTCCACTTATCCATCTCACATCTCATAAATTTGGTGATAAGAAGACTATGGGAGACTGCTTCAGAAGTCTTCATAAAGTAGTCAAGGTGTGCGGCATTCACTGCTCTCCCCTTGATCATAGCGGTAGTGAACTCATTATAAAAAGGCATGAATTTGGTTAGCCATCATCTGCTCTTGATAAATCCATGTTCACTGCTCCTCATGACCCTCTTGTCCTTCACATGTTTATGAATAGCTTCTAAAAGGATTTGCTCCATAGCTCGCCCAAGGACTGAAGTGAGGTTGACCAGTCTGTAGTTCCCTGGATCTTCTTTCTTGCCTTTCTTAAAGATGGGTACCACATCTGTCTTTTTCCAGTTGTCGGGAACATCTTTGCATCACTATGAGCTTTCAAAGATGATAGCAGCCTTGCAATGTCATCAGCCCATTCCTTCAGCATCCCTAGATCCATTCCCTCTGGTTCCATGTATATCCCAGTGGGTTAAGTCATCCCTAACTCTGTCTTCCTCTGCTGTGGTTACTACATCACCCCCATATCTCTGCTAGGAAGCTCTGAGATATGGAAGACCACAAGACAAGCCTTATCAAACTTGAGGCAAAAAAAACTTTAACTACCTCACCATTTTGCCTGTTCCTTGTCACAAGCTTCTCTGCCCTGAACTATGGTCCCACACTCTCTTAGGTTTCCTTTTGCTGCTCATGGCACCTCTAGAAACCTTTCCTGATGTTCTTCCCTTGCTGGCTTCAACTCCAGCTGAACTTTGCCCATGCATGTAGGAATAGAATTTATAATGTCTTATGTCTTTATGTTCATCCCAAGTGGCCTGCTCCTGCTTTCACCATGCTTCTTTTTTGTGTTCGAGCTCAGTCAGGATCTCTCATTCAGCTCCCTTCATTCATACCAGCTTTCTGCAGTGATTGACTTCTGCACATCGGACTGAACCATTCTTGTGCTCTGAGGAAATTGTTCTTGAGGATCACTCAGCTAGGAGCAGGGAAGTTCTGTTCCCCTGGGAACACTGGGCACTGGTGAGGCCACAGCTGGAG